GGATTAGCTCAAAGTGTTTTTGGTTTAGCTTTCGTCTTCTCAGCAACAAGCCAGATGCTTTCCAGGTATAAATACAGCATCCATTTAATTGAAGCCAATGGACCTATATTGATTTACACAAGCTGTCAATCTGTCCCAGTGTCTCCTGCCGTGTTGCTACTCCAATGTCTCTTGTCAGTAACTACTGTATAAACAAACACAGACTGTCAGGAGTCTTGGAGGAGAAAGCCTCTCTTCTCCCATTATGGAAACTGCTGACCTTTTGGGATCTGGGTGGAAGCTTTCTTTCACATTCTGACAGATGACTTTGTCTAGCAAAGATCCATGACATGGCTTTTGGCACACAGAAGGAAGAAAAGTCTAGCTTAATGGGACAAATTATAGGACTGGGACAAAAGAGCTGACTAGGCTAAGTAATCAAACAACAGTTAATAGCATTGAAGTCACCTTTTCTCCCTTTTCTCCTACATCACCCTTTTCTCCACGAGGACCAGGGAAACCCTATAAAAAATGAACAAAAATACCTCTATTGGCTTCTGTATGTGGGCTTGCCTTTATTGTGTAGCTGAATTATCCACACACACACACACACACACCAAGAAAACTGTACCAAATGATTTTGAAATTAGAAAGCGCATAATAGCAAGAAAGTTATTGAAGATGCCCAGCAAAAGACACCCTTATTTTCCTACATGCAAATTAGCACTGGCAATGTTAAAAAGAGAAGTGCTTCAGTCAAGTAGGCAAAATGGTTACAATTATTTCCCTCCCCACACTGCAAAAGAACTTGCATAACAGGAATGTCCCAACTGCAACTTCTGTTGAGAAATACACTCAGTTGCAAATCAAAACCTGCAATCAGTGGTGCTTGAAAACACAACTGCATGGAGGCTGCTCCATGTGTCAAACTGTTCCTCTAAACAGCTTCTCATGAGCTTTCAACTGTTTTTAACCATGCAATAGAGACGTTCTCTGCATGGTGAAAACCACCAGAAATTTGTAAGGAGCTGCTATCACAAATGGAGTGTCATGCCACACACTCCCCATACGGTTACATTTTCAAGCACTACTGGCTGCATCTGTAGGCCTCTGGAGAATTATAATAGTACTTTCCATGATCATCTGTCAGGTGCTCTAGTTAGCAGCAGTTGCTGTGGGCACTTATGAGTGGCACTATTTATGGTGGGATTTACAAGTCTGCCCTTACTTAGCACTGCTTTCTCCACACTCTTCAATGTTATTTTCCTCTCTCTCTGATTATTTTCAAGGCAAACAACAATGCAATGTTTAGTATATTCTCTGCATGATTGTCATGCACAACAAATGGGGGGAAATTCAACATGCTCCAAGCATGCAACTATTGCTGTAAAACAAACATGTACCTACCACACAAATAAAGTGATGATAAATATTACTTACATCAAGGCCAGGTTCGCCATCTTTGCCCTATTAAAGATTCATATTAATTATGTTAAACTTTGTTAGCTCAGCTTGTGTAAGACATCTGCCAGGACTATTTAGGCATGCAGCTGCTGTACTGTGTATACAACACAGACTGGCACAACAAGCTCTCCTAAATAAAAGACAATAATGGAGAAGATGGAGGAGGAATCTAGCCTGCCTGGTTTCTGCAACAGGCTCACATTATCCTATCTGGGCAGGTCATGATCCAGATCAGATCAATGGTCTGCTTCAAAATCTGCACTTCAGTGGATTCCACTACAAGCTGGTGGTCTAAGGGCTGCACTCTTCCAACTTTTTCTTTAATACTTCCAAAATAAGGTCTCTAGCCAACCACAACTTGAGTTGTTAGCACAAGGGGCTTCTTGCCAACATGTGCTTTGAATGCAGATAGAGCAATGGCATTCCATTGTTCCCAAGGGAACAATGCCCTTGTGTGAGCACTGGTTGTTTTTTAATGGGAATTGCAAGGGGATGGGTGACAGGAACATGAAGGGTGTGCAGCAGATCAGGTCTCACTCTCTGCTGGCCAGAATAGAGACCGCCAATCTCCCACTGCCTTGGCCCTCCCGTCTCCCCCTCAGTAAACTGCAGCAACCTGATGCATTAGGAAGGCAGGAGAGCCGCTCAACCCCTCCAGCCACTATTGTTTATGTGTGCATGGAGACAAGAGAAACAGAGAGTGGAGACTGCTCTGCTTATTGCAACCAGACATTAATGGAGGATAGGATAAGTCTCTGTTTGAAGTGCTGTCTGAGTACTGCCCTCCAGCCGAAGAAGCCCCCTCTCTGAAGGGCTATCCAATCCAAGATAAAGAATCATTGGAAGGGAGAGCAGTTGGCACACAGGCAACCTGGCCACAGTCTTCCTCACTATGGTGAGATGCATTTTTTAAAAAATTAAATTACTGCCATTAGTTCTAAAGTTGCATCCATACATAAAAATTAGCACATGCACATTTTATATAAAGCAGTATCCTCTTCTGTCCTCCTTTTTGGTGATGCCTAAGTACCACAGGGACGCAGGTGGCGCTGTGGGTTAAACCACAGAGCCTAGGACTTGCCGATCAGAAGGTCGGCAGTTCGAATCCCCGTGACGGGGTGAGTTTCCATTGCTCGGTCCCTGCTCCTGCCAACCTAGCAGTTCGAAAGCACGTCAAAGTGCAAGTAGATAAATAAGTACCACTCCAGTGGGAAGGTAAACGGTGTTTCCGTGCGCTGCTCTGGCTCACAAGAAGTGGCTTAGTCATGCTGGCCACATGACCCGGAAGCTGTACTCCGGCTCCCTTGGCCAATAAAGCGAGATGAGCACCATAACCCTAGAGTCAGTCACGACGGGACCTAATGGTCAGGGGTCCCTTTACCTTTAAGTAAGTGGGAACCCTGGACTAAAATGTCACAAAATTCCTACATGGAATGTACTTCAATGAATGTAGAGTACATAGCATATATCCTTATGTAGTTGGCCACATGTAGAGTGTCAAGAAAAAGATAACATACCATAAAGTCTAAGATAGATCCCTCTATCTCTCTGTCCATCTACCCGAAAACTGTCCGGGCAGTTTGGAGAGCAGCTAGGGGAATGAGTAATTCCCCACTAATTTCCATTAGTGGAATCTTCTGTTGGACGAAAAGCAATTCTATTCATAGAAAGACACCTTAAGAGCCAACTCATTCTTCATACTTCTGCAAGTTTAATAAAATGTTGCAGAATCAATTTGAATTCTGGGATATTCATACAAAGCAAAAGCCAAATAACGCATATTTCAAAATTATTTTATATTGGATATATGGCATTCTCCTCATCCTGCATATGTAAACAATGGAAAACTACTTGTATTGGACAAAAATATTTAGAATCACCTTCAATGGATTGTGATACCTACTTAGTCCATCCTTCCACACAGGAAGAAATCAGTTTGCACAAGGGGTTTTTTTTGAAGATGCTATATGAAACTGTAACAAATTTCCCCAAAATGCAAATGAATCACAAAGAATTTTGCATAAATGACAGCTGATTACCCTTTGTACTGGAGAGTCTTTTGAGGTATTTTAAGGAGAAACAACATGATCCTGAGACTTTTTTATTGACCTGAATTCCTGCCATTACTTTCTGGTGCCTAGAGACAAGCAATAACACATGTACGGCAAACTGGAAATGGCAGGAGTTGCGCAGAGGGGGTCACTTTTAATTCTGGCTTTTCTCATTGTTGTTAGTTTATGTCACAACCTACTCTATTATTTATGCATAGATGCATGTGAGAGAATGAAACTGCCTAAACTTGAGATAAGGGATGGCCTCATGAGCAGTGACCTTGGGCAACTTAAACTAATTGCATTTCTCTGTGATGAATGGTCATAAAACACAGTAGGATTTAATCAAGGATTTCTGAAAATTGCACTTTCCAAAGATGTCGTGTAACTTACAGGCAAGCCATATGGACCTCTGGGCCCAGGATCTCCTGTGGTTCCCTTTTCACCCTAAAATACAATATCAGAAATGTTCATTACAAAGGGCAAAGAGGCTTTGTTTTCAATTATGCAGTATTTATTGTGTATTTGAAATCCATTTATTTGTGTAGCATTTATTTCAATTACACAATATTTATTACATTTCTGTCCTACCAAACATTCAGGGTTGCACATAAAGTTATCCTGTTTCTCTCCCCCCTCCCAACATACCTGAGGTCATCCTAAGGTTAGCCAGTATACTTTATGTATGAGGGCAAAAACAGACATTGCATGAGAGCTTCCTCATTAACTGTCTTGACATCTTTTAAATACTGAAATGAAGTTGCAGGTGGGTGTCATTTGGGGTGGGGGACAGAGTATTGTCAGGGGTGGTTGTTAAACCCTTCTCCCTCTTTGTCATTTTCTTAATCAAAAGTATTCTCCCAGGTGCATTTGTTCTGTATGGGAACAATCTAGTCACACGTATTTTCTCCTTGTGCAAATAGCAATGGAAGAGGAATGGGAACCATGTGGAATGGAGGGAAAGGGTCCCTTATCTCTCTTACTGCTTTTCCAGGGGGGGGGGGGGGAGATAGCAGCTTGGTTGTGCAGTGGCTGCAACACACTTTCTATAGGCTTCAATAAGCTGTTTAAAGAATGAAACCCTCTACCAAAGATGCCTAATTCGTGTGAGACAGTACAGTGGTACCTCGGGTTAAGTACTTAATTTGTTCTGGAGGTCCGTTCTTAACCTGAAACTGTTCTTAACCTGAAGCACCACTTTAGCTAATGGGGCCTCCTGCTGCTGCCACGCCGCCGGAGCACGATTTCTGTTCTTATCCTGAAGCAAAGTTCTTAACCCAAGGTACTATTTCTGGGTTAGCGGAGTCTGTAACCTGAAGTGTATGTAACCCGAGGTACCACTGTATCTGTTTCTTTGATTTGTCATGATGTGCCTTAATGAGGACACACAGGTACTATCCAGAACTTCTCAATATACCAGAATGCTTGAGATTTGAACTTTGCTCTGGTTTATACCTAAATGTACAACAGTCAAGTGCTATAGAGTGGTTTTATAATGGAGGAATCTTTTGCTCAATGTAGAACTTGAATCTGCAACCCTGAGATTGAGCGTCTCATGCTTTACTGACTGAGCTATTACACATATTTTTGAAAAAACAACAACATTTTAGCTTTAAAATTCTGGACCTTTAAACAATTTGGTTGTTTTATTTTAATTAATTTTTTTAAAAATAGTATGTAGCTATGTGGGTTTTTTGTTAGTTTGTAAATTGCTTTAGGTTGCCTTGAGCATGATAAAGTGACTAAAAAAATATATAAGTAACTATAAACCCCCACAAATTAAATAAATAATTTATTATTCTAGGTCTCTTTTTTTGGGTGTGTGTGAATATGTGTTATTTTTTGCACAACTACAAATCCTCTTTATTTATATCTGCAAGAGAACGAACACAATTAAATATGCTGAACTGATACCTTTATCATGCAAAAGAAGTGAACCACCCCAAAGAGAAGATCTCCTGCAAACACTCACTCTGTCTCCTTTTGGACCTGCAAGGCCATGAGGACCAATTGGACCATCCATGCCCTGAAAGATTAAAGAAATAGGAGCTGACAACTCTGAATGAAGGTTTATAATTAGCAAAGAATTTCATGAGAATCAGGCAGAGAATATGGGCTGGACTTTCACTGAAGGGGCAGCTGAGCTCCCAATCCTTCTGGCAAGCTCAAACAGTGCTTCCTCCCATCTCATTCATCTCTACTTTCATGTTGTAGATCAGCTGGTTTTCAGATAGCAGGGGCATAGGTTAAAGCTTGAAACAAAGGGACTTAGGATAACAACAACAACAGCAACAACAACAATCATGCACAATTCACATGAAGACCCACAAGGATAGATGGCAAGCTTAGAGGAGGAGATTTTAAGTTTACCGCTATGCTATTCCTTTACTTCTCCGTTATTCGAAAGCTGCAATATTTGTTTCAAATAGCAGGAGAAGTGCAGTGTCTTTTAATGTGGTGTAACTTAGTGGTTTAAAAAGATCAGGAAGGGCTTGTTCTGAGCATTGCAAACAGTAGCTTTCTAACGTTGACTCTCAAGGAAGAAAGAGAGAAAAAGAGAAAGAAAAGAAGGCTGATCTGAATCAAACAGCAGTTTTACTAATGCAGGCTTTAAAAGCTGGCTTCTTTAACAAAGCTCGCAGGATCAGATCAATGCACCAGGCAAGAGTGATGTAGTCACATGGACATTTTTATTTGAATGATGAAATCAGTGATTTCACTGTAGCCTCGTCTTCTATCATATCACCTGTCATGGACAAGGTATTGTTTATTTTCTTTATTCCATGCACTAGCCCTATGTAGCAGGTATTTAGGCAGCTGTATAACAGGGTGAGTTGCAGCCGGTATTTCACATTGGACACAGCTATAGCACCTTAGGCCCTTTGCTAGCTTTTTTGTTAGCCGGGGCTCCTCCTCTGATAGAGCATCCTGTAAAATGCCTAGTCAGCACTGTACCAGAAGGGATAGCAGCAGCAGCAGTGGTACCACACTGAACTGCAAAAGAAATCTGCCTGCCGTAAAGCATGTAGATTTAGTAGTGAAGTATGACATACAAACACAAGGGACTCACCCGGGGTCCTGGCTTTCCGTCTAAGCCAGATGCTCCCTGTATGGTTAAGTGGAAGCATAGATGGCAGGGATAACACGAATGACAAGAATGTGAGATTAGTAACTGGTGATGATGAAACAAATACAACTTCTATTTATACACAGGATGCGAGCTGCTACAGGGTTCTAGAATAAGTATCACAGTACTGCATTAGGTTAGTTTTAATTTACACACAACATGAAGAGTCTGATTCTGATCCCCTTTGCAATGTGTCCCACATTAAGGTAATCTCACTATTTTTAGTGAAATTCACCTCAATTTTATGAAATCAGAATGAGCCCCTAGATGTATTAGTGCTACAAACCTCACATATTACCATGGAAGTTTATTTGTACTTTAACACACACATCTCTATTCATAGGTTAGTAAAACAGACTTTTAACTTGGAAGATATAACAAGGGGAATTATGAATTTTGCACAGACATGTCAACTGTCTTTTCATTACTAGAACTGAAAGGAGAAGAAAACTGCAGAGCATTGCAAACAATATACGGGTTCCCATTGGAATGTCCTAATGATAAGATGAGAAAAAACACCTAGATTCTTAAAGAATATTTCTATTTCTTCACTGTATTAAAATTTAAAACATGTTCCTGAGTACACCAGTGTGCTAATGGTTTTCACTAGGGCAATGTTAATTCACTGAAATTAGTTTCACCTATCACTTCCAAAGGATGTGGTCTCCCACCAGGATGTATAAAACTTTTGTAAAGTTTTATACTATTCATTCTGGAACTGCTGAGGAACAGAGGACCCCTGGTGGATATTGTGTGAACAAGGAAAGCCTAATACTGCAAAATTCTAAAAGTGCTAATACTACTGTCTGAATTAAACAGATCAGATGGCTTCACTGGAAAGAACCAATGTCTGTGAGCACTGGGCCCTTCACATATTTTAAAAACCTTGATCTTGCCCTGGAAAAGTTAGAAACTTTAATTCCCCACTGATTTCAGTAGGAAATAGTTAAGCACATGTGGAACTCCCATTGAATTCAACTGATTTAAAAGTGCTTGGGTTTCCTAGACTGTGCCTCTTCTGAACAGTGTGTCTCAATTATTTTAACTGGTTTGGGCCATCTTTCATTTCACTGTGTGAAAGGTCTACTGAAAAAGACTGGTAAAACGTGTTTGTATTTATGGTATTATAAGACTACAATAAACCAAACACTGGGTTGGAGCCATATTAACTTAGTCACATATTTGTCCCATTGAAAACTGTGGGATACGTTAGTCATGATGACTATCTTAAGTCTGATTGATTTTAAAGGGGCTATAGCATGGCTAACATAGTCTAGCTCCAGCACATTCATTTCACTTCTTTCACTCAAGGCAATATTGAGTAATCCTGATTTTAGCACACTTTCATTGAAGGCAAATTTACTATAAGCACCACCAACAAAAACTATTCCAAAATAGTCAAATCAGAACAATTCCACAAATCTATTTGTAAATGAAAAATACTTAAAGTTACACAAGCTAATTTCTTAAGATTTCACTCTTAACATCTCAATCCTTATAAATACTGAACTCAAGAAAAAAAATATTGAGTTTAAATATATACACACTATACTTAAAATAGTAAAATCAAACACCACACAGCATTCAATAATGGCATAATTAATGTGGGGGAACATGATGCTGTAACATTGTTGACACTGACAAATGACACAAAAATGGTAATAAAAATTAAAACCAACAACTGACAGAACTATGTGTTATGAAATGATACAAGAACAGACTCTGGATAAAAACAAAACAAGACTAATGTTTTACTCCAACATGATATAGTTTTATATTTGCTATCGAGTAAACCAGAGTTTTTGGTTGAAAGCAGAAAGAGCAGTTTGCAATTTGCACTGAAATTGAATAGGTATTTTACTTACTGGAAGACCAAGGGGCCCTCTGTCACCCTTGTGACCTGGTTCACCCTTCAATCCTTTAAGACCATTTAACCCTGGTTCACCCTAAATGTAAAAGTATAAGTACATTGGGGGTGCTGGTAGAGGTATTCAAGCTGGGACAGAAGAGAGCCAGTCAGACGTGGATGCAAACTCCAGTTCTTTAACACAACTGGTTCTGTTCAGTGAAATATACTTTATCAGACTATGATATAATAAATGGAGGAATGCTAGTGATCTGTATTAAAATCAAAGGCATAAAGCTTTCACAATTATTTTGCAAATTCAAATCAAGTAATCATCATCACGATGTTGAAACATTTCTGAATAACTCAAGCAAAATTGTGAGCCTTAAGTGGCCCCTTTTTCTTCTCATGGTGAACTGGAATGTGCAGTACATCTTGGAAAGATATTCTAAACCTTTAAGCATAATTAATTAAACAGAGGAAGAGTGTGATTTACTGGAATATGCACTGGAACCATGAGGAAATGGTCTCCAAAAAGGTGATTACACTCCTATTAACAACAGAAGTTAGTGATCTTTTCATGTTTATGAAATTTCACATGAAATTAATGTATGCAACATTATGCTATAATATGGCTTTATTATATATTATGTATTAAAATTCACATTTAAAGTTTGCTCTCCATGAGTAAGTCTGCTTTGAAGCATAGGCTAACAAGAGTACAATCTGCTAAAAACTTCTTCTGCACAAGCCCACTGGGAGCTGCCCATGATCATTGCTACTGTATCCTTATATGACTGTAAGGGCAATGTCCACCCTGTAGTTTAAACCACCTCCAAGCCTATTTAACTGTCATGGCTCCTAAGCAAAGATCTCTATTGTAGATCTCAGATTTCTCTCTCTCTCTCTCCACACACACATATACCCGGAGAACTACAGCGCCAATATTCCCTTACTCTGCAGAAGCTAGGGATTACTAACAAATAATTATTAGCACCCTTATTCTCAAGGTTCTTTGAGTGAATCTGTGACAGATAAAGCTTTCAAAAGAGGCTTGAATGAAAATGAAACGCAAAAATGATATACTAATTTTGCTCAATTTAATTCAATGGGCATTCTAAAGAAGTTGACTGAACTGAATCTTGCAGCCCTCAAATTTTTCAGACCATTTATTTTGAGATTATTATTATTACTCTAAAAATATCCTACTCTTTTATTGGTACTCAAGAGTAGAAGAATTACTTTCTTTCCACAATTGCATACTCCATTACAATCCCATTCTTTTAGGCTACAACCATATACCCACATACCTGAAAATAAGTTTCATTTAATGAAATGGGGCTTAACTTTGAGTAGACATGTATAGGATTGTGCTGTTGAAGCTGTAGAAACAAAACTACAGTACTTGGTGCTTGGAGAATCTCAAGGAGTCATGAGTTCCATTAAAATGCTTCAGGTCAGATTAGGCTAGCCCTGGCATGGAACAAACTATGGTCAGTTTTGTGAGTGTTCAATGCTATACATAATGGTCTCAGCATGTTTCTTTTCTCTCCTTTCAAAACAAACAAACAAACAAACAAACAAACAAACAACATATTCTGGTAA